TCCCGAAAATCGACAAAATCAAAAGGAGCATGATACAAGATTAGGGAACTTTCGACCCCCCACCCTTGAAAAATTCCCGTGTGCGCTACTGTTTAGGACCAATACAACAATGGAAATTTAAAATGAGGAAAATTGACCAAAATATTATAACTCCTGTTTTGCTTTTTTTAATTATTATTTTATATATTTTTTTATTTTTGTCACTAACGCTAAATTAAAAGAATTTAAGAAACACTCCTTTACAATTTTTGCATCAGCAAAAAGTTTCATATGGTTACCAATAATGTAACAAACTTCGTAGAATGTCTTTGTTACTGCTGTGACATTACCACTGACAAAACACTTTTTGCTGTTTTCAATAAAACCTATTTATCACATCTTGAAAGTGATCTTGGGGAGGAAAAGTGTCTGAATGATTCCTGTTTATTGGTATTTTTTAAATGCAGTACCTTCGTGACAAAGCAAACACAAGTACTGATCCATGTTTGTTTTTCACTACAAAACAGTCAACATCTAAATCGTTCGAATATTTTTCGCTTGCAAGGTATGAAAGATTGTTAAAAATTAGTTCCACCCGTAAAATTGTCGCTACTCCACGTTGTATGTTATTACTAACCGTAATCTTTACAAATAGAAAAGGAATATCAATTCGCAGCCGTACGAAATCCACAGCAAAAAAGCAAAATCGATATATTTGATTTCTTGTCAAAGAATTTTCCACCAAATCTTAAGTACATTGTTCTTAAATAAGTGAATTTCTCAGAGCAATGGGTCATGACTGCGCCACTTAAAAAGGCTTGGCGGGGCACATGAGGGCCGCAAGTTGAGTATCGCTGCTATATATTATATAAAAAAGTAATTATTAAAGTAATTAATTGTTTTTTTTAAACTAATGTATAGTCATTTTATATATCTTATCCAGCAAAAAGAAATTTGCAAGGAAAAACAAGAAAATATATACATATATTTTCCAAGAATACATTGTATTTTCAACCTTAACATTTTATATGAAAACTTATGAATATTTTTTAACATTTTCTAATTTTAAGCTTACGAGTAATTTTAACTGTACATTACTTTATAACCAGAAATTTCAAGCATGCACTACCACATGCATCCTTAAATTTAATTACTGATAAAATCTGTTAGTTTTGTTTCGAGTTTTTTGTTTGAAAAATTATGGCCATTTTATTACTCTAATTGAGTTAAGCACCTGATAAAACCAGTTCAAGATCCTTCATCACCATAAAATGTGCTAAAAGAGAGAATAATTTGAAAAATGTCCTGAAATATTCTAAAAATAGGGAGGGGGTGAAATCGAATTACAAGAGAAAAAGCTCGTTAAATAGAAAATACACTTCGCTATTTGTGGAGGTTATTTTACGAAGAAAATCGTAAAATGTTCTTGGTTCCAGAAAAAGTTTGCAAAATAGAGAAATTTGTAAAATATTGGTTCATTATATGGAGGATCGACTGTAGTTACTAAGCAAGTAATATACAAAAAAAAA